TGCCAACCCTGCCTAAAAGTGTTTTAGCAGGAATCAACGCTTTCCTTTCATAATAAATAAATTTGGTAACCAGGAAGATACAAACTGACACATTCAGGCTAGATTATGCATAACAGCTCAGTCTTGGATGTGACTTCGGGTGGGTGGGATTAAGAAAGAACCCAAGACACCAAAACAATCTAGTAGGAACAGAGTCAGACAGATGAAAGGGCAATGCCACTCCCCTTGCCAGCGCCGGTTTAGGTACGGGGTTAGGTAAGGGCCTTTTCCCGAGGGGGGCACACCTGCTGGGGGGCTACTGGAAGAGGCGGTCCTTCACAGGCCTCTGGGAACCGCGGTGTGTAGCTGCGGCCCAGCTGCAGCCCCGGGGAGAGCGGCTCACTGTGAAGGTAATGGGGGAAGACCGCAGGGCAGAAAGTTGTCAAGGGAGTGAGACCTTGGTGTCATTACTGAGCTATTCTTAAGCCTTTGGACTGTATTATGTAAGATAATAATTTTCCTCATTATTTAAGCCAGTTTGAGAATTTCCTGTTATTGGGGCCACAGCATCTTAAGTGATAGAAGTCCTTGAAAAAGAAGACTGCTCACTTCACAATTTCACTGCAGCCAGTTTTATTTAACAACTTTTCACAAATAAAGGAAACATTTAAGGTTCTGAATGCCCAGAGACTAGCTACAACTCAGAAAAAAATATCTGTTCCAATTACTGTTACTGATATTTACAACTTTAAAAATTCTATAATCAGGGGGCAAAAACCAAAAACAATGCGCTACCTCCTTCAATACTATACCTAAGACATTCTTTCAACAAGATATTTTTTTCTCTAAATCAGAGGTTGGCCAACTTTTTCCAAAAATGACCAAAGAGTAAATACTTCAGGATTTGCAAAATATATGGCCTCTGACATTACAGCTCAAAAGCATCCAGAAACACTATGTAAACAAATGGTATTTCTGTGTTCCAGTTAAAACTTCCTTTACAAAATCAGGCAAGCAGGAGAGAGGTGGCCTGCCAGCTAGTTTGTTGACCTCTTCTCTAAATGGTTAACAGCAAGAAAGTATCTTTCTCAAACAAATCAACTAGATTAAAAATCAAAAACAGTTTGTTTCAAATGTGTATAAATTATGTAGAAAAGTAACCAGCATGGCTGGAGCATTCTATTCCCCTGCATTGGATTGCTTGAAGTAAAACACTAAAACAAACAATAACAACAAAACTTCTACCTTACATATATAACCTCTGCAAAATGCAACTTAGGATTCTATTAAAGGGTAACTGATATTACAATAAAAAAATACAAAACTTATGCATATACAAATTTATAACATCTACCTTTTAAATAAAATTAACTTTAAATTTAGTAAATTATCGAAGATTTCTGTACATACTGTCTATTAAAAGGGGGAAAAAAAAAACCCTATACAACTCCTAACCTGACTGAGCCCCTCTCTTCGAGAAAGCTGAAGCTAGAGTTCAGTATTACATGGAATGAGGGAAGTAAATCATATGGACTATATCTCCTTTCCAAACAGCTCCCAATACAAAGACACATTTTTTTTTTTTAAAAAGCTTATTCATTTATTCTGAGAGAGAGAGGGAGGGAGAGTGCACATGTGTGAGCAGGGGAAAGGCAGAGAGAGAGGGGAAATCCCAAGCAGGTTCAGCGTGGTCAGCGCAGAGCCCCAAACTCACCAAATGTGAGACCATGACCTGAGCTGAAATCAAGAATCAGACACCTAACCAGCTGCACCACCTAGGTGCCCCAAAGACACATATTTTTTAAAGGACACCATTTTTTCAATTATATGCCATACTCTAGGTAGAAGACAAAAAGTGAACTTCACCTTCAATCATTAAGAAAATTTGCACAAGCACATAAACACACTTTTGAGAACTATTATAGGAAATTCCATCATATGACTACATTCAACTGATAAAAATCTGAGATATATTGGGCCCCCCTCACTCTTCACTCAGAGCCCGTTTCGAATTCTCTCTCTCAAAAATAAACATTAAAAAAAATTTAAAACGTCTGAGAAACATTAATCTTTTGAACACAGTAATAAACACCATTTCAATGTTTGTTACAAAATAACCTTATTTTTATAGACTTTCAAATCACAAATAAAGGATTTTTTATATGTTTATCCTTGCCTAAGTACTGGCATTTTCTGTATCCAAGGAAGGAGGTGCTAACAGCAATACCTATGAAAAACAGGAGTAGGAAAGAGGTGGGGGAGTTCTGGGGAGTGAAAAGAACTTGTAGCTTTCTTTTTATATTTTTCTAAATTTTTTATGTTTTGTCATAAACTGTATTACTTTTAATGTCTTTAAAAACGGTTGGGGGCGCCTGGATGGCTCAGCAGGTTGAGCATCAAACTTGACTTTGGCTCAGGTCATGGGCTCGGAGTTGAGTGTGGAGCCTGCTTAAGATTCTGTCTCCTGCCCTCTCTCCTGCTCACATTCACACTCTAAAAAGTAAAAAAAAAAAAGGTTTAAAATATATGTTCAGTATGAATTAATATTGAGAACTAAATCAATCGGAAAGTAAAGATTCTGTGAAAGAGGCTACAAACTGAGGACTTCACTGGGGTCAGACTGGCCACTCACATCACCCAGGAGGGGAGTATACACAGGCTACACCAGTAAGTGAAGTTCCCGGAAGAACTTTCGCCATCAGCAACAACACCAGGAGGCTCAAAATAACCTGGTAAGGGTGAAGTAGAGAGCAATCCAATCCAAGTCCATGGAATTCAGTGCCGTAGGGTAGTATCAGGGTAGGGAAGAAGTACCCAGTAGCTTTTGGTCAGCTGGAGGTCCAAGCTATCCAAGAAATGGTTACTTCCTTGAGTTCCCAGATTCACAGAAGCAGCCTAAAATCATATTGGCTCTACCCTGTCAGGTGGGCTCCACCAGCACAGTTCAGCTTTCACAATCTTCATAGGACACATTTTTTTAGGCTTTGGTCTTTGGGACATATTGGTTAAGATCTGCCATTTTTTAAATGGCCAGAGTTAAAATGCATTAAGTTAAAAATGGATGAAAAGACTCCCACCATCGTTCCACATTTCAGGCTCTATTAAACGGTACAGAGATTATATTAAAAGACTGAGAACAGAAATTAAAATAAAAATGTATTAAAGACTTTCATTTCAACAACCTGCCAAAGATACAGATGAATGATAAAATCAATCCTGCTGTTGGCAAAGGTAAAGCAATAAGCAAGAAACAACCCTTGCCCCCCTCCCTGAGATACTATAGCAAGAGAGGGAAGAGCAAAGTCTGTCATTTCTTACACCACAAGAAAAATAATCAATTTAAGTGATCACAGTGTCTAAAAGGACCGACTCCACATACTTTACCCACACTGAAATTAACTGTATTTATTCTACAAATATTTCTGAGTCTCTCCTACACACTCTTCCATGCCTAGGGACGCACGAGTGAACAAAACAATGTATAATCCACAAGAGCAAGAATTTAACATTCCTAAGTGCCGTAATTAAATTCTGCCTCATATAAATAGAGCTACAAAGAATTTCCAACACATATCTGTTCATTCTTTAATAATGCTACCCGTTTATTAAATTCCTCCCTACATTTAAAAAAAAACCCAAAAAACTGATGAAGCAAAGAACCAAAGTCGGTGACAATCCTTTTTACAACAACATACCAGTAACTTCAAAGGGAGTGTTCTACCTTTTTGTCACATTTCTGTCCTATTAGTTTGAAAGATAAAAGCACACTAGGGAAAGCAATGGGATTTTGAAAATTAAAAAAAAAAAAAAATGCAGCCCTGAATATTAATCTCCTCCCAAATCTAATAATGCTGTTTTGGCAAACGGATTAAGCCATTATTTATTTACCCTGCCAGATGAACGGGGCAATTGTTCATTCAGAACATATAAAGGAGTATTTAGTGTTCTAAAAACTGTATGCTCCGTCAACAATAGATTGCAATGTCGAGGTCAGTATTCCTTCATCAAATAAGCCCTTATTATCTTAGCCTTTTACATTTGCATCATGCCAGGCTTAGTGCCACAGGACTCACTACAAAGTCTTGTACGAATCCTCCACCGCATTTTTAAATTTCTCTCTGATGAAACTCACTTCACTCATCTCACTAGGAACCACTTCTTCCGAGGGGGGAAAAAAAAGGAAAGAAAAGCACCCAGTGTCGGGCACGGGGCAGGGATCCTGACCCGTCTGCACAGGCAGTGAAGCGCTTTACTGAAGCTGCGGTAACGCAGAGCCCCTCTTCGGGACCGAGCCCGGAAATCAGATGGCGCCCCCCCCCCCCCCGGGAAGCGGGGACCCGGCCGAGGCCGCGAACGGGCTGCTGCCCCCGCGGCCGGACCAAGTTGCGAGGCTCCGAGGCCGCCCGCTGCACCCGCGGCAGGCAGAGCGCGGCGCCCGGGACCGGCGGGCCAGGCCTGGGGCTGCGGGGAGCGGCTCGGCGGCCCGAACCCCGTAACACAGCATCCGTCGGCCGCCAGGGCGAACGCACGCTCTCTAGTAATTCAACACCCTTACTTTCAACCTGGAGGTCGGTGGGGGGGACGGGGGGGTGGCAGGGGGAGGAAGAAGTTCTAATAAATCCCCCCGACCCTGCACTGCAAAATGTGACTCTACCCAGGCTCACTGGATTTTCGGGGCGCCCCGAAGGGACGAGCCAGGCCGCGCCCAGGCGGCGGGAAGCCCCCGCTCCCCCGCGGCCGGGGGTCCGGGGCCCACCCCGCGGGCGGACGGCGCGGCGGCCGCTTCGGGCTTCGGGCCGCGCCCCAGCGGCTGCCGCCGGCCCCGGGAGCGGCCTGGCGGGCCGGGCCGGGAGAGCGGCGGCGCCGCGGGCCGCCGGGCGCGGACGCAGAGGCGCGCGAGGCCCTCGCGGCGCGGCCGCCGGGGCGGCGCGGGCTCCCGCAACTTGTCGCCGCCACCTCAGCGTCTGCGGCGCCGCCCGGGAGCAGGGGCTGGGGGGGAAGGGAGGGCGCCGGCGGCTTACCCCGAGAGCGAGCGGCTCCTTCCCGCCCCGAGCGTGGCTGGGGCGCTGCGCGGCGGCGCCGGGCGTCGCGGCTGCGGCAGGGAGGGAGAGGCGGCGGTGGGAGCGCTGGGCCGCCGGGGACGAGAGGCGCCGCCACCACAGCAGACAGCTCCGCAATATGGCCGCCCGGTGGCTCCTCGGGGGAAAGGCGGGGCTGCCCCGCGCCCCCCGCCTCCCCCTGCCGGCCGGCCGGCCTCGCGCCGCGGCCTGAGCGCCAACGCCGCCGCCGCCGCCGCCGCCGCGAGGGCCGCCCGCGCCCCGCCCCCCGCGCTCGCGGCCGCCCGCCGCACGCGGCGTCGCCGGGGGTCGCGCCGCGGGGTGGGGGCGCGCGAGGGCCGAGGCCCGCGGAAGCCCCTGATGGCGGGACTGGGCGGGAGGGACGAGGGCTCTTAGGGCCGAAGCTCGTGGGGCGCCCGCCGGCACCCCCACCCCCCGCACCCCCGGGAGTGGAAATTTGAAACTCCCGCGGGCGCCGGGAAACTCGGCGAGGGCGTTTCCGTCGCCCCGGAGGAGGGACTCGTCTTCCCGGAGGGGGAGCCAGGACCGAGCCGGGGGCGAGCTGCTTGGCGGCCCAGCTGGGGAACCCTGCACCGGGAGACGGAAAGGGGCCTATCTGAGGGGGATTTGTATTTGCCACAGAGAACGTTTCAATTACTCTGGCAGTTTTTACCCAACTCGGAAAACTTACGTTTTCGGTAACTCCTCCAAAACCTCGATGGCTAGGGCGCCATCTCCATCGCCAGTGCAGTTTTTGTATCCAGACAAGGATGTCGACGGTGTTCATTGCCACCGACATTTTGGGGAAGGAGATGGTCAAGAAGAAACAAGTTGGAAGTGGGGCCCCCAAGGAGAGCCACACCTAAGCGACCCCAGACTTGGAGGTGGTTGGACAGCTGGCCCTAGTCTGACTCCAGGCCGCTCACTTTCATCAGCGGCTGGAGCTGGACAGACTTGCAGTCGGCGTCCTGGCGTCTTCTGCCGGGGTTCCCGGAGTAACACTTGCTCTGAGTGAGGCTGAACTGTAGCGCACAAAACCAGATCGGCCCAGCTTGCCCTGCATCTCATCTTTATATACTTTAGCTTTTATGAACAAACTTTCGATCCAAACACCTTAACTTTTATAGAACAAATAATTCCTATGCCTCCTGCCTTCCCTGAGACGGTCACTTTTCCAGGAACTCTCCCCCCAGGTCACTTTCGCTAAGCTCCCAGCTTCGGGGAGTTTCCTCCATCGCCCTCGGCGACCTTTCCAACAATTAAAAAGCCCCTAGAGTTTAACTCAAAGATCTTCAGATTGCAAATTCCTCAAGGAGGAACCAGGTGTGTGGTTTTACCTAACTAAAAGATTACTCCCTGACTTTATCCCAAGGGTGCAAGGCTCATCCAAGTAATTGCTCAGCCTCCCACATCCCAAGTTGCATGCATAAAGATAGTGGAAGTATTATGTAAATTCCTGGATAGTACACTAATCAAACAAAAGTAGGTAACACACTTTTGCAATGGAAAACGGATGATTCACTATTGTCTGTCATGTGCCAGGCACTGGGGTAAGTAACAGGCTTTTACGTGAGCATCTCTTTTAATAATTACAAAAACCCTGTGTTTGGGGTCAATATTAACATTGACTTTTTTTTTTTTTTTAATCCGTGACTAAAGAGACTCAAAGGGGTTCATCTGCTCAAGGTAACCCAGCCAGGAAGTGTCAGAGCAATGACCAAACCTTAGTTATGGTCGACTCCAAAGCCTTGATTTCATCCTAAACTCTGGCAACAGCAAACAGACCAGAAAGTGTAACATTTCAGTTGGCTATAGTATTAGTAAATATTTAGGTAAAAGATAACATTCAAGGCTGGTGAGATAAAAAGGGTACTCTGAGACATAGTGAGTAGGAGTGTAAACTGAAACAGCCTCTTTAGAAAGCAACTTGGCACCGTGATTCAACCTATAAAAATGTTCTTGTACCCATAATCCCATATCTGGGATTCTTTCTGAATGAAATCATCTGAAATAGAGCAAAACCTTTATTCATAAACTCTAGATCACAATATTATGTATAAGATGCAAAAATTAAACGTGGAAACCAAATATCTTAAAAGTAGCTATATATACTCTGTAGCATTTGGGGTGACAACTTGAAATGTTTATGTAATGTTTATAACACCACGGCAAAGTTTTTGTAGTATTAGAGAGAGGGAACAAGTTATGAAACTATACAAGCAGTATGATCGCATGTATGTTTAAACACACGCACGCACACACACAAAAGTACAAGATGTCAGAAACACAAGAAAGATTGAAACCCAGGGTTGGCTGGGTGCTTCTCTATGGGCATTTCCCTCCCTTTATTCTATTCTTTAGTATTTACTGTGTTATTTTTACAGTGTAAAAAATGTATTTAACTTGACATCTACCGCAGTGTAGTAGTGGGTCATCAGTTACACAAAAGCAGCAAAGCCACTATTTCCTAAGTGTGAGGCTATTCTGTGAAAACCTGATGGACTGAGGTGACGGAATTTTATAGTCAGGTGTTTTCACTGTAAATGTCATCTATACACACCATTGTTCTACTTTGTTCCTTCCATCAAATATATGTATCTTTACTGAAATATGAGAAATTTAACTGAAAATTTTTTCAGTTTTATTCCAACGTTTCAGATTTCAAGGGGAAAAATTCACATATGGTTGTTGAAACTAGATTTTTTTTCAGAAAACCAATTTGATATTACCAGTAATTACAAAAAATTTTATATAGCGCCTAATATGCACAAAAAAGAAAGACCAAAACCAATCTATTACAATCTGTTATGAACTCTCCCAGGCTACAGTCCTCCTGTACTCCACCATATTGACTAATCCTGAATTCTGGAATTCCAGTGATAGTTACAAAGCATTTGTCTCAGTAGCACATATAAAAGTCCTTCTTGAAGAAAACTCATTTTTGCAAGTATGGTTTATAAATGGAACCTCTTCTTCATCTAGGACAAACATTGAGTTCCAGCCCCCTTGCTAGTCTGAGTAAGGCCTGGCTCCTGCCCTCTGGATTCAGTAATAGGAAAGGCAAACAAACAGTTGTGCAAAATGAGCTATAATAAAGGTAGACACAGAGTGTCAAGTGAAACAGAAAAGAAGCGCAGTTAACTTTGCAGAGAAAGGAGAAGGTGCCTCAGAGGAGGGAAGGTTGAAGGGGTGAGTAGAGGTTCCCTAAGAGGAGAAGTGGAGAAAGGCACTCAACTTTGAAGGCTGAGTAGCAGGATGGGGTTGATGTTGAGACAGGATGTTTCAACTCGATGTTGATGTTTATAACTAGAGGTTTCAGAAGGGTAAGCTGAGATCCGTTTGCGAAGATCAGAGTTTGCGCTTCATCCTTAAGGAAATAGGAATCCATCTGAGGCATTAAGGAAAGGAATAATGTGATCTTCTCTGTGTTAGCAAAGTAATTGGCAGCCGTGTGCGTTAATGGGAGAGCAGTTCAGTGACAGAGTGATCCGTAAGATCAGGGACATCTCACACAGTTTTGCTGTAAAGGCCCAGGCACTAGGGAATGAAGGACTGACCCTGGGAAGTTTTGAAGATGAAGAAGAGGAAATAGAATCTTACAAAAAAAGGAAAAAAATGGGGGATAGACTTTGAGGAGTAAGAGAAAAGGCGATGTGAAAATGAGTACCCACGGGTACCACTAAAAGAGAGTATAAAAGAAGTAGAACCGAGAGGTAAAGGTAATTAGGCAACTTACAGAGATGCTGATTTTAAGTGTCTGTGGGTGATCTGGGAACAAGTGTATATTCAGTAACTGGAAACAAGAACTCTGGCCAATGAGACATCCACTAAGTAGTACTCATTAAACAGATGAACATCAGTAACACGCTGAAACAGGCCTTTCATTTCCAACTGTGGCTTTGGAAAATGCAGTTTTGTTCAACTCAAGGATTTGACTATGAAATATTAGATATTAATCTAAAGCATCATTGTATACGGAAATGCTTTTCCATGAAAAAACTGTATACACTATTTTTAGTTTTTATTCACCATTTTAAAAAAGCTATACAGATGTGGGGCACCTGGGTGGCTCAGTCGGTTGAGCATCTGACTTTGGTTCAGGTCATGAAGTCGTGGTTTGTGAGTTTGAGCCCTGCATCGGGCTCTATGCTGACAGCTGAGAACGTGGAGCCTGCTTTGGATTCTGTGTCTCCCTCTTTCGCTGTCCTTCTGCTGCTCATGCTCGCTCTCTCTCTCCCTTGAAAAATAAACGAACATTAAAATTCTTTTAATTAAAAAAAGCTATACAGATGTAAAATCACAGCTACTTTAAATACCTATACGTAGAGATAAAAAGAGAATTTTCTATTATAAACTGTGATATTTCATACTATTCCCACTATCTTGCATATTTAAGTACATATTAACAATGTGTTCGGCAATATGATAGCCCTCAGTAAAAACAAAGTAAATACAACTATCTTATCACCTGTTTTGTATGCCTAGTAAGCCATACAAATTTAATTGCTGATATAAGCTATAAAATTCCAGTACAGTCAACAGAGGTTTGATGGCTAAAGTACCTAACGGAAGATTCAAGAAACCACAACCTGTCCCTGCCTTTATTCTCTCCCTATCTAAGCTCAAATTACATAAGTACATAATTCGTAATGTGTTCACAGATATGAGCATATTAATCTTCAACAAAGACAAGGTAAAAGTTATTACTTAATCCTCTCTGCTTATATAATAAAAAAGCCAGTTTAGTTTGTAATAAACAGCGATAAAGTTTCAGAAGTAAGGAACAAACAGAGTGCAAAGAGTCTACATGAGGGAATCCATAACCTTGGATTTATTCCCAATTCCTACAAACAAGTTGCTAAGTGACCTTGGAAGATCTGATCGACTATTCTGTAACTTGCTTGCAAAGAGGGTTAAAGTGAGGGGAATGTGACACCTACTGTGCTTTTCCAAGAGTTTAAGATGTCAGGGAATTTCAGGACTAGAAGAGAACCTCAAAGAGCACTGACTCCCCTCTCCAGGATTATTGTGAAGCAGGTCCATCAAAAGTGGCTTCCTCCTGCTGTGTGAGAGCTCCAGGAAAAAACGAAACAAAACATCTTTTTAAAAAAAAATTTGTATTGACTCCATTTTTCTCATCTATTAGATAGGGAGCTGGATTAGACTGACCATCTGTAAGCTTTCTTCAGGCTCTCTAATTCTTCAACTCTAACTCAGATAGAAAATATTTGACTCTTGTACATAACTTGTAATTTCTAGAACTCCTTATGTATCTTATGACCTATGCAGAAAGTATTTATGTACAGAGAATCACTTCCTAGTGTTTCATAATTTCTGACCCAAATATCCATCAGTTTATGACTCAGTAAGCTTTATACTTTGCTAGACTGTCCCTGTCTCATTAGAGATGTAAGTAAATGAATGAATATATATTCACCTGAACTTTAGCACTGAGTATTCTAGACAGCTCTTTTCTAGTTTGTAACACTTTAGTTTTAGTTTAGTTAAATATATACAATAGTTGTTATTTACTATACAGGAAAAGTGCCCAGTACTTTGTGAAGTGGCAAGTGCAGAAGATTAGATATGAGCTATTAGACAGAGGCACCACTTTACTGGGGTGGCTTTAAAATACATTCACATACTGGGGTGCCTGAGTGACTCAGTTGGTTAAGCATCCAGCTCCTGATTTCCACTTAGGTCATGCTCTCATGGTTTATGAGTTCAGGTCCTGTGTCGGACTCTGTGCTGACAGTGTGGAGCCTGCTTGGGATTCTCTCTCCCTCTCTTTCTGCTCCCTCCCCACTCATGTTCTCGCTCTCTCAAAATAAAGAAATAAACTTAAAAAAATATGTCTGCCTGTTTTCTGATAGTCCTCCCTTAAGAGGTGTGGCCTAACTCCCCTTCTCCATGAGTGTGGGTTGGATTTATCGACTTGCTTCTAATAAATAGAAAAGTGAAATTGATGGTATGAGACTTTTGAGATGAGATCATAAAAGATACTACTGCTTCCTCTTCATTGGCTTTCTTTGGGGCAAGCCAGATGCCATGTCACCAGCACATGCAGGCAGACTATGGAAATCCCCGTGTGGTAAGAAATGGAGGCCTCCTGCCAAGAGCCAGTGAGGACTTGAGGCCTTTTTCTCACAGCCATGTGAGTGAGCCGCAGCAGAAGCGGATTAGCCCTCCAGCCCCGGTCAAGCCGTCAGATGACTGCGGCCCCTGGCAAGAACCTGAAAGCCACCACCTGAGAAACTCTATGCCAAGACCACCCGGCTCAGCTGTTCCTGGCTCCTTGACCCACAGAAGTTGTGAGATAAGAAATGTTTTAGGTCACCGAGGTTTGGGTGATTTAAAAAAAAAAATGTAACAATAGGTATCTAATGTACTTACCTATAAGGAATTTCCACTCTAGTTTGTTCACTCTTTATTTTGAAAAAAATGATTGAATTCCATAATTCAATTCACACAATTTTAAATCTGGACAGTGCTTTAAAGAAAAGTCTGCCTTGGGGCACCTGAGTGCCTCAGTTGGTTAAGTGGCCAGCTCTTGATTTTGGCTCAGATCATGATCTCACAGGTTTGTGAGTTCAAGCCCCACATCGGGCTCTGCACTGACTGTGTGGAGCCTGCTTGGGAACCTCTGTCTCCTTTTCTCTGCCTCTGTCCCTCCCCCCTTCACACACACAGTCTCTCTCTCTCAAAAAGAAACATTATTTTTTTTTTCAAGAAAAGTCTGCCTCTTATTTTGTGGAAATGGAAATTAAGATCTGCGGTCGGTCTTGCTCAAATCTGGTATGCCTCCATTACCCCCATCTCAACTAGGAACGCAGGCGCCATGTTTACCACGCGCCTCTCATTCACCTCCTTCATAACCAGACTATTACGCAATCCTAGGGCTTCTGATTCCTCTTGCCTCAGTCTAACTGTTCATCTCGGTACCACCTGCGCCCAGGTCGCACAACAGTTCTCTCGTCTGGACCAGCAGGAGCCTCCGATCTAGCCTTCTCATGCCAGCTTGTGCCCCCTACAATTAGTTCTCAGTACTGAATCCAGATTTAATTTTTTGACATGTAATTATGATTATCTCACATCTCCGTTCTACCTCCCCCCGCAGACCCACTGGATGACCTCCTGCTGTGTGCTGGCAGTCGGTCTGCACTGTTCTCAGGCTCAAGCCATACGGTCACCCCCAGAGTCTGCCTGCTGCCCCTCCAGGCCACTAAGACTTTGCATAGAAGTTGCGTCTGCCCACATGTCTAGCAGACACGTAAGCGCCCTTCAGATCTCGATCATAATCAAGCCTGTACTGACCTCCTGCCACTCGGCACAATCTCCCTGTGACTTGTCTTTGTACTGGTTCACAGCAGTTGTATTATTAAGTCACAGATTTTTTTAAATTGATATCTGTCCTCTCTCTTGGCCTGTAAGTCTATAAATGTAGACACAACATCAATTTCTTTCAGTCTTGTGCCCTAACACTTACCACAGTGCCCAGACCATTATATGCTGTTTAAGAAATAGTTGTCGAATGAATGAAACGACTCAGAAAGTTAGTGTAAGACTAACATCTAGATCTCCTGACTCCCAAATTTGCTGTTAACTACAACCTACCTGCTGCTCTCAGTTTGGTGGACTCAACTCTGAATATCAACACAATGCATTTATTAAGTGCAAAGAAAATCATTGATATTTCACAAATATTTTTTTTGGCAACACAAGTGGTATATGGTGTCCAGGCATGGGTAACTGTATTAAAATGACAAGGTTCTTGTGCAGGCTTGTTTACTTTGGGATTTGCCACTTATTTCCTGAAATACATCTGTGAGGCTTAATTTTATGTGTCAGCTTGACTGGTTTAAGGGATATCCAGACAACGGGTTACGAAATATTTTGGGGGGTATGTCTGTGAAGGTGTTTCTGGAACACGTTAACATTGACTGAATAGACTGAGTGATGAGATCTGCCTTCACCAATGTGGGTGGGCATCAAACAATCTGTTGGGGGTCCAAATGGAACAAAAAGGTGAAGGAAGGGCTAATTCTCTCCATGGGATCAGGGACCTCCATCTTCTCCCATTCGTGTACCTGAGAGCTCCCAGTTCCCAGGCCTTCAATTCCAGGACTCACACCAGCGGCCCCTTTGTTCTTGGGCCTTTGACCTTAGACTGAGAGTTGCATCACTGGACCCTTCAGACTTGGACTAAATTATGCCATTGGCTTTCCTGGTTGTCCAGCTGGTGGACAGCAGGTCATGGGACTTCCTGGCCCCCATAACCACGTGAGCCAATTCCTACGATAAATCTTCTCTTACATCTGTATCTATTGGTTCTGTTTTCTCTGGAGAACCCTGCTGGTACAATAGTCATTACTTGAAACAATTCAAAAGCAACTTTCACTATCAATTGCTTTTACTCACTCTGAGCTGTAATAAGTTAGTTACGGCCCATCCTAACCCCAGCCTGTGGTGTGCCAAGTTTCGTGTGTGGACCAGAGTTCTCTAGAAGCCTTACCCAAAGGGCTGAGCAGGCTTCAGTGGCTTTGTGCAGGCTGCTGCCAGATGCTCCAGGAAAAGAAAAGAAAAAGGAGTAATAAAAATAAGTTAGCAATTGAATGTATGAATGCCTTTTTACTGAGGAAGTTAATATATAAATGTAATGCTTACAGAAAGTTGGAGAGACTTTTGGAATCAGAGCCGGCTGCTACAGAAAAGTATCTAGCGTTACTGTTAATTATGTGTGAAGAAAGGGGCAAGCTGTAGGCCCTTTGCAAATCCACTTGGGTCCCTGATCTAGTCCAATTATTAATCTCAGGAACACTTTTTTTTTTAATATGTATTTTTGAGAGAGACAGAAACAGACTGTGAGTGGGGGAGGGGCAGAGAGGGAGACAGAATCTGAAGCAGCTCCAGGCTCTGAGCTGTCAGCACAGAGCCCAAGGCGGGGTTCGAATTCACAAACCGTGAGATCATGACCGGAGCCCAAGTCAGATGCTTAACTGGCTGAGCGACCCAGGAGCCCCTTGGGAACACTTTTCAAGTCACTGGGCTATTCCTCTATTCCCTTCCTCAGAACTTCTTTGAGCATTGCAACCTGATTCGGAAAGAGGGTAATGAGGGTGGCCTGAAGCATGGAGGTGGCGACCACCCAGTGCTCTGACCTACTCTCAGCTTTATGTTAGACATGGTGGCTTCCAGGACACGTGTGCAGGATGTTATGACATGTTCTTCAGGGGGAAAAAAAAGAAAAGAATGACCCTCCCAACTAATGAGGGGCCTCTGCGTTCAAAAGTATGGTGTAAATTACTTTGGAATTTTAAAGGTGTTTTTTCTCTTTTTCCTGTGGAAATGACTTTGAAAGGTGGTTCAGCTCGGAAGCTAGCCTGCAGAAGTTTCTTCAGACTTAACATACTACATAGTGGGACTCTGCAACTGACTGAGGTTCGTAATCAATCATGTTTCCCCTGGAATACATACAGGGGTTTCACCTTGAGAGGCAAAAACGTGTATCTTTTTTGACTAATTGAAATTCATTCATTCATTAATCTGCCAGTCACTGAACCAATTTTTATCGAGCATTGATTACGTTGCAGGTTTCGTTCTAAGTGCTGAGAATGCAAGATTAGCAAGAAACTCAGTCTACTGGGAAGTGCAACGTCACAAACATCAAGTTACAGAATCATTTGAAAAGTGCTCTAACTAAGCCCTCTCTCTTGAGGGAGGCTCAGCCATTCATTTCCAGTGTAGCATCTCCACGTGGTGCCCGAGGACACCTCAGACTTCACATGCCCAGGACTCAACCCATATCTTCTCTACCTTCTCTACTAACCCCCCCCATTCTTTCTCCTTCTCTTCCTTTGTATGTGTTCCATCCCAATTTGTAAAACCCCCTCCCAGCCAGTCCTCTGTCCTAGAAACCGGAGAATAATTCTGAACCCATTCAGCCCCCACTTTCCATCGGTCACCAAGTCCTGCTAATATTATCTCTTAAAGAGGCCTGTGGCCCACCTCCTCCTCCCTAACTCGGCTACTGTCTTCACCTGGGATGCGGGTAAACTTCCCGGCGGGAGTCCCAGGCCAGCGTTCGGACCCTCTCTAACATATCCTTCACAGAGCGAGATTTCCTGGCTTTTCTAGCTGGAGGGCTTAGCACAGAGGCTGACCCACAGTAAACACTACTGTAATTAACCCCATGTATTAACGGAGATGAGAAGCACGGATGGGCCAGCTTTCTGAATGGAAAGTGTTTTGTTTGTGCTATGCTAGTCTGGAAGGTCAGTCTTCTGTTATCTGCAAGGTGACCGGGTCACTGGGCACCTGGCTCCCATAATCTAAATTTGTAAGAGATGATACAATGTACTGGTGAAAACATTGACATCTGGATCCTGTGCTGCCACATGTAATGCATCTAATATGACATTTGATGCTATTGTGTTTCTTCCTTTCCCTTCATTTCATTCATACAGCATGCCAATTTTCTACTCCAATGGTTAGGATTAAGTTCAGCAGACAGTGACAGAAAACCCCAAATAGCAATCGTTGAGAAAGATAGAAATGTGTTTCTCTCTCAAAATGATAACCAGAGAGGCAGTCTGGAGCTGGTGTGGTGTCCTGGCCACTCACCAAGGACCCCCTCTCCCGTTGTCTCCGCGCTCTGCCGCCTTCCACATATGGCTTCTACCTCATGGCCAAAACGGCTGCCCCAGCTCCGGCCATTGTGTTCGTATTAAAGCCAGGAAAGAGGGGGTAAAGGAAAAGGGGAGGGCATCTCCATTGTTTTAAGGACCCTTCCCACAACAGGGAAGCCTCAGCAAAGGAGACAGTAGGCAGGGGCGCGGCATGAGGGGCGTCACCATCAATCATCTGGCACGTGCGGGAAGTCAGAGTTCACGCAGAGTTAGTACCCAGCAGAGGCTGGGCCCAGACAAGAGGCCAAAGTCTGAGACGGACGAGGCCGAGAGATCCCAAGTGTCACCTCGCGGATGTCTGGCACAATCGAGCAGTCTCTGCCACACCACACTAAGTTTGCATTAACCTCTCACCCACAGAGCCAGGGTGCCCCTGGGTACCCGATGCCCAAACCCCAGCTGGTAGCAACAAGGGCAGTTAGCAACCAGCTGCTCTAGGCCGGCTCGTCTGCTAAGAGCTGACTTATAGGTACTGTTTCACTGAGTCCTCACAGCAAACGTGGCTGGAGGGTTCTTTCTTTCTCCCTTTTTTCCTTCCTTCCTTTCTCTATTTTTTTTCTTTCTTTCCTTCCTTTCGTTTTCTTTCTTTCTCTCTGTTTTTTGTATTTAATTTTACGCGTGAGGAAACAAGTGGACATGTTGACACACCTGGTAATCATGGAGGTCAGGACGCACACTCGGGGACCCACACTCGGGAAACCACCCGGGGTTCCATGCTGAATCATGAGAGACTTGTAAAATCAGTGTGGGGTTATAAGAAGGTATTTTCCGGGAAAGGAAACTTCATGATCTTAAAGAATAGGTCAGTGTCTGATGGAAAAACCTAATGATTTTTTTCTTCTCCACTGCAGAGGACACCCATCATTCCTGCCCGGAAACTAGCGGTGCCTTGAGTGGCCAGCTCCCCGGCTAGCGCGGAGGCCTGGGGACGTGCCTCCTGGCAGGCTGGCCCCTTCATTCCGCCTTTTCCCCCAGAGGGTCCAAGTGTGACCTTCGCTTTCTTCTAACCTCGCCCCACACCCTCCAGCTGAGTTTTCTTCTCTCTTTGACGCTGAAAAGAGTGTCATTGTGCCTCCCTCCCTTCCTCCTCTCTATGCCGGAAAATGAATCTGAGTGTTTCTGTGGAATTTTACAGTCTTCAAAAGAAGAAAAGCATATCAGGGGTTGAAATAACTTCATGAGGAATTTCAAACTCAGAAGCAGTCTTAAAAGCTTGAGGGTTATACCACTTACTCATTTTTCCTTGGGATGGAAATGTAACTAGGTCATACTCCGTAAGGTTCCTTCTTTTCTCTGGCCCATCATTTTGGTAAAAACTGGATCCAGACAATCCAGTTCCTCCATCTCTCATTTACTCCCAGGGCTGGAGCCTCTGGGATCGGCTTCCATTGACGAGGAAGGCATTGTCCTTCTCCGCCCTCTGGAAGTCTGTACGGAGAAAAAATACAGATACTTACAAAGCAGGTTGTCAAAGGCTCAAGTATGATGTATTTAAATGTCAAAGGAAACTCAGACTGCCGATCTTTATATCCATCAAGTCATTCTTCCCACGGAAAGTTATCTCGGCTATTGTGATAGGAACATGCAAACCAAGGTGTCTTGGCTGTTGCTTTGTTCTCCAGTCTCTTTTCTGGACTCCAGGGTACCAGCACCTCTTCATTCAGCAAACTTCGGTTAAGCATGTGCCAAGAGCCAGGCACTGTGGAGGGCACCGGGCGTCACATACTCATGTCTGCCCTCTCACGGCCACGCCTCATCTCCCCAACACGCCTTTATAACATACTGCTTTATCTAGGGATATGCATGGTATTTGCTTTCAAATCACAGCTTGGAGAATTTCTCTGAGTAGATTCCTATAGACCTTATTTATTCGTATTTATGGCGTATTTATTCACTCATTAGCCTCAACTAGCAACTAGCAACTTTTTGTCTGCTTTTTAACCATGTTTCTTTCTGAATACCCCACTGAAAGCTGGCCTAACATTATCCTATGGACGTTGGCTCTTGCCTGAATTATCTTGAGGGCCAAGGGCCCTAACGCATCACAGACTGTCAGGAGCTAGACCATACATTAGTGCTGGACCATCAGGGACACGTCAGTCATGTGAGTAAAGGTCAGAATCATCAGATAAAGAGCCAGAAGACTCAGCATTCTGGAGAATGCACAAAAATGAAAAGGCCCCAGCACTCGATCTGTGTCTGAGTTTTGTCCCTGATATAACACAATTAAAAAACAGGGAATCTAGGGGCACCTGGGTGGCTCAGTCAATTGAGCGTCCGACTTTGGCTCAGGTCATGATCTCACAGTCTGTGAGTTTGAGCCCTGAATCCAGTTCTGTGCTGCCAGCTCAGAGCATGGAGCCTGATTTGGGTTCTACGTCTCCTTCTCTCTCTGCCTTCTACCCTCTCGGGCTTTGTCTCTCTCTGTCTCTCAAAAAATGTTAAAAAAAATTTTAAGTAAAAAAACAACAGGGAATCTGTTTTTTAGACTTATCTAAAAATAGATTCATCTAAAAATCTATTTAAAACATGGATCTAAACAGGCTGCAGATCCTAGAATGACTCTTCACAGTTTTAACAATTACAGTCGATAAAATTATACTTGGTATTTGTAGCTAAGTAATTGTCACTTCTTACCAGGTGATAATTTCTACTGGAAACCTATAATTAAGTGAAAAAGAAATAAGCCAAACACATTACGTGAAAAAGAAGAATTTATCACTTCACAAGCTGTGCCTTAAACATCTTACCAAATTTTTACATGTTCGTGTATCAGAATCAGAGACTATTTATAGCAGGTAATTTATATATTAGCAACAGAAAAATTGTGAGATTGACAAAGAATTGTAATGTGGTGTTAATGAATGTTAACGATACTACTCTCACAAAAAGGATGCGTTGTTTTTTTTTTTTTTTTTTTTTTGTAAAGCTGACTCATACCTTTTAAGTAGGATGTCATATCAAAATGATGATTTCCTTCAAGGAATTTCCTTGCTTCCTTAAACAGTGAGGGGGGAAAATGATGTTAAAATTTAAAAGCTCTGTGGGCTTCAATACTTTGAAAAATACAGAAGATAAGCTAGCAACCATATACTTTTTTATGTATTTCCAATGAGATGTAAGTTGGTTCAGTATTGCTGAAAAACAGTTTGACACCATATCGGGAGTCCTCAATGAATTCATATTCTTTTATCATTAATCTATTTATAAGAGTTTATACTGAAAAATAAGGAAATGGTTTAAGACACACAAATACACAGACATTTAACACAGCATTATATATATTAGTACAAGCTTTAGGACAACCTAAATGTCCCCAAACAAGAAAAGTTAGGGGCCCCTGCGTGGCTCAGTCAGTTAAGTGTCTAACTCTTGATTTTGGCTCAGGTCATGATCTCAGGGTTGTGAGATCAAGACCCGCATAAGGCTCCAAGCTAAGCATGGAGTCTAAGGATTGAGCCTGCTTAAGATTCTCTCATTCTCTCTCTCTCTGCCCCTCCCCTTCTAGTTCTCTCTCTGTCTCAAAAAAAAAAAAGGTTTAAAAAAAAGAGAAGTTAAATTATGGCATATCCATTACAATGTAATGTTTAGTATATAATAGAAAAATTGCACTTTTGACAAATGACATGTAAAATATAATCACATGTAAAAATGCTTGTAATGTAATATTAAAATCAAGATACAAAATATTACATGCAATATAATCCCAATTAAAATTTATTATGTTTCTATATGCATGAGAAAGTATGAAAACAAAAATAGCTGTAGTTATTCCTAAGTGGCAAAAAATACACTTAATATTAAAAGTAGACTCCACACCCAGCATGGAGCCCAACACAGGATTTGAACTCACAACCCTGAGATTAAGACCTGAGCTGAGATCAAGAGTCAGATGCTTACCGGATTTAGCTCAGGTCATGATCTCAGGGTTATAGGAGCAAGCCCCACATCAGGCTCTGTACTGGACGTGAAGCCTGCTTAGGATTCTCTCTCTCCTTCTCCTCCTGCTAGCCCCGCTCACACTCACACATGTTCTCTCTGTCTCTTTCAAAAAAAAAAAAATGTCGGACCCTTAACCAACTGAGTTACCCAGGTGCCCCTATAACCATCATTTAAATACTGTAAGCATAAAACTTTGAAAGGCTGGGTGAGGCAAAAGCAAATGTGGACTGCTAACATTACATAGCTCATGAACAAAGTGGGAAGAATTAAAGGAACAGTGTTCAACAAACCATTATTATTTTCCACTTTATTGAACTATAATATCCGTATAATAAATTGCATATATTTAAGGTATGAAATGTTTTGACACATTTATACTCTCATGAAACCAACACCATGATGTGGATAATGAATGTTAATACCATCCCCAAATGTTTCCTTGTACCTTTTCCTAATCTATTCTTCACTTCCCCCAACCACGGTTCAGGCAACCACTGAGCTAGAGTTTTGTTGCTATAGATTAGTTTGCATTTCCCAGAATTTTTGGCCATGCTTTTTTTTTTTTTACCATAGAATAATTAGCCTGAGATTCATTCATGCTGTTACATGTATGAATAGTTTCCCTTTCGCTGTTGAATAATGTTTTCTGTATGAACATATCACAATTTGCTTATCCATTCAATCGCTGATAGACATTTGAGTTGTTTCCAGTTTTTGGCTCTGACAGATAAAGCCGCCATGAGCATTTATGTATACGTCTTTGTGTAGAATGTACTTCTGTTTCCCCTGAGCAAATGCCCAGGTGTGGAAGGGTTGGGTCAAATTATAGGTATGTGTACAACTTATGAAGAAACTGCCAAACAGGTTTTCACAGTGACTGCACCTGTTCACACTGCCACCAGCAGCGTATGAGAATTCCAGTTGCTTCCTATTCTCACCAACACTTGATATTGTCAGTCTTTTTAATTGTTGCCACTCTATTGCTTGTGTGGTGATATTTCATTATGATTATAGTTTGTATTTCTTTAGTGACTCATGATGACCTTTTCATGTGTTGTCATCCATGTATCCTCTTTGCTAAAGTGTCTGTTCAATTATTTTGCCCATTTTAAATAAAGGTTACCTTCTGATTGGTTTATAAGAGATATTTTTATATTCCAGATAAAGTCCTTTGTATGATAAAAAGTTTTGCAAAGATTTTTCTCCAAGTGTGTGGCTTGCTTTTTCATTGTCATGGAAGTCTTTAAAACATTTTTTAAATGTTTATTTATTTTTAACAGAGAGAGAGAGGGAGAGAGAGGGAGAGAGAGGGAGAGAGAGGGGGAGAGAGGGGCAGAGAAGGGGAGAGAGGGGAAGAGAGGGGGAGAGAGGGGGAGAGAAGGGGAGAGAGGGGAAGAGAGGGGGAGAGAGGGAGAGGGGGAGAGAGGGAGAGAGAGGAGGGGCAGATAGAGGAAGACATAGAATCCGAAGCAGGCCCCAGGCTCTGAGCTGTCAGCACAGAGCCCAATGCAGGGCTCGAACCCAAAACTGCAAGATCATGACCTGAGCTGAAATCGGACACTTAACTGACTGAGACACCCAGGTGCCCCCATGGTTGTCCTTTAAAGAACAAAAGTTTTTTTATCTCGATGAAATACAATTTACTAATTTTTTTGCTTTTTCACTTAGTGCTTTTTGTGTCATATTTAAGAACATTTTAACAAACCAAATGTCATTAAGGTTTTCTCCTATGATTTCTTCTAGTTTTAATTTTATATTTAGGTCTCTACTATAATACACACCAAGTTACTTTTTGCATATGATGTGAAGTAGGTTCTGAGGTACATTTTTGAGAAGTATGGTTACCCACTTTTTCTAGCAGTATTTATTAAAAAGATTTCCCTTTCCTCATTGAATTGCCTTAGTGCCTTAGTAGAAAACCAATTGAATCTACTTCTAGACACTGTTCTCCTAAATGTCTATTTTATGCCAATTCCACACAACTTTGATTACTGCAGATTTATATATATGTATATATATATTTATATGTATATATAATATATATTTATATGTATATATACTATATATATTTATATATATAATATATATTTATATGTATATATACTATATATATTTATATGTATATACTATATATATTTATATGTATATACTATGTATATTTATATGTATATATACTATATATATTTATATGTATATATAATATATATGTATATATAATATATATATTTATATGTATATATAATATATATTTATATGTATATATAATATATATTTATATGTATATATAATATATATATTCATATGTATATATAATATATATTTATATGTATATATAATATATATTTTTATATGTATGTATGTGTGTATATATATATATTTTTAGTGTATATTTTGAGAAAGAGTGTGTGGATAGAGGAGAGGCAGAGAAAGAAGGGGAAAGAGAGAATCACAAGCAGGCTCTGCACTGTCAGCACAGAGACTGACTT